AAGAATAAGAAGAGGAGACTGTTGAGACTCCTCACCAACGGCAACAATTTACCGACGAGTGCATTTCTCTGCTGTTGCACTATTAAGTCACGAGGCACTGACCTTACAGTGACCTTGCGGAGAAACGCTCGTCAGCTGTTCAGCAAGGACATGGGCGGGGCTCGACGTGACGTCACGTGTGAGACTTGCAGCAGGAAAAACGAGAGAACAATCGATACTTGAGTGAGTCATCGGTCACACCTCCGCCCGTGTCCCTTCAATTGTCAACTATTCACGGCGCGTTCGACGACTGTCAGCAGTCCAGACTGCACAGCGTCGGATCACAGGATACGGTCTTAAAGTAGCTCCTGTCAGGCGGTTCTGTGGATAAAAATGTTCTCGGCGAACGTCAAATATTCGGTTCTCTGCCCCGCCCTCGAATTCGAAGCTATTAAAGGAATTCCCCGGCTTTTATGGGATACGAAGGTTTGTCACTGAGTTAACAAGCGGCCGTATGTCACTCCTTTGGCCCAGATATTCCCCTACGCTCAGTTATCAAACGTCCTGAATGAATCTACGTTCCTTCCTCAGGGCGACACACGAGATTCCTAGAACCTAACCTACGCCACGGCACTGCAGACGCCTCGTCTGGGTCTGGGTCGATACGCGCTATCCGGGGTTACCCTCGCCAGCAGCATCAGCGTCTTCACAACAGTCCAAACGTCGACCATGTTCCGATGATTACTATCGCAAATTTAGTTATGTCATTCCACCAAATATCAAACAGCAACTAAAATATTGTACGGGTAATTTATCACGTGTTAACATGGCGACGGCGCGAAACTTTGGGCTGACATCTCAGTCGTAGTAATTGGAATTATACAGACAAATTAATTTACAGTTTCTGCTAGCCTCATCAGTGGGAGTCACGAAAGTGGAATATTTTTTCTTGCGCGAAGCATCCGTTGTCTGGCAACGAGAAGAGCCAGGTGTATTTATAAGTGCGGCCTGTCCGGTTCCGTAGCGGAGTGCAGAGTACAGGCTCTGAACACGCACGCACGCATTTTGTCCGCATTATTCCGGAGACAACCTAAAAACGAATTCAATCGGATTCGCCTAAAAACAACTGCTTCTTGGCGAGCTACTAGCGTTTCGAAGAATTAAAGTCTGGTACAGCAAACACAAGATGGACGGACAGACGCTGAAAATCCGTCGGAACCCTAAAATAGAGATTGATAATAAAGCCGGGAAGGATCACGATTTCAGTGCGCATTAAAGGAGAGAACTCGAAAAACCTGTCCATTTATAAACATTAATGTTTCCTCCGAAAACGAATACGTAAGAGTACCTATGGAAAAATTGTAGTCTCGCCGTTCTCAAAACACAGCAGGTTAACTCAAGAGGTAAGTGCCTAAATTTCGTTCGTTCCTGAGACAGAGAGAGAGAGAGAGTGTCCACGTCCCCAAACACTATCCGTCCAAAGAATCATAAACATTTTACATCAGTGAATCTGCCACCTTTTCACGCCACAAATGCTAGACGGAGCTTACCCAAAAGTCAATTCACCCAAACAGCTGAAGGCGGTCCTGCGCACTGCCTCACCAACAGCTCGAGGTATCGATTACTGAATGCCAAGGAAGTGTGACCGTGGACTGTCATGACGTACTAAACGCCACGCTTTGTTTGAAAGAAGTTTCCTCCATGACCAGAAGAATTTGGTTGTCGATCAAGTCATTTATAATCACACTGCCGATAACAACGAACTACATATTTTATAATAATTATTACAATAATAATTGAGTCTACGGTGTTTGTAAAACCACTGTCAACACACCGACAGACAGAACTGTCGGCCAGCTGTACGCAAGGACCACCCTCACAACTCAAATATTTGCATCTCGTAGCACTGCTGATGACAGGCCACCGGAACAAAACGCCGCTGCTAAGCGAGTAAGAGCGATGGCGGCTTGCACTTTAAATTCTAGAAATACCGCAAAAATAGCAATCTGCACGCCACTGATGTCATGCAACGGTACTTACTGAGCGCTGGGTCCAGGGAGAGCAACTGACGGCCGCCGGCCTCGGCACCGCGCCTTTATAGCGGGAGAATGGCGACGCGACCTGCGCGCAGTGGCGGGATGTCCGTCCCGCCTACCCACTCGACTCGCATCACTGACTGAAACGTCTGTCTTTATCAGCGCCTCGAGCCAAATGCTACTGTAACGCCACGCGATTAACCCGTCATCAGGGCACAAGAAATCTGTCATCAGATGACATATTCCACGGAGAATCTGTTATCTAAATGCGAGGCTGTGAAAGAAGACACTTGGAACGACAACCGGGTCGATCGGACATAGGCCAACCGATATGCAGGGCAACTCGACGGCTGATAAGGAGAGCGAACTACTCCTAGGAACGAGCAAAAACTGGAACTAGCAGGTTCTAACACTTCGTCTGTTCATGCACATTTGGCGAGCAAAGTTTTGTTGGTCGATTGTAGAACCAAAACGTTTTTGAGCGGTGGCCATATTTTAATTTTCCGTCTTTCTGAACAATATTTGGCGAGTTTTGGTATTAGCGGTGTTAAATATTTGGGTTCTGCTACAACAAACACTTAACAATACCTATGGCAGAAGCCTCCCTCTGTGGCGTTCCACCCCGTCCGCGAGCCTGGAAAATACCAATCGACAAATGTCAACCTCTCGAAAGTTTCCATGCGTAAACACGAAATGGAAAGTTTACATAGGACCACAGCAGTTAACACGACCAGATTATCCTGTCTCGGATGGTCTGTCCAGGAAGACAAACAAATCTCTTTCAACTTTATCACGGCTGTCGGATGCGATGTTGCGCACTGGTCGACGTTTCGGAGCAGATAATTACTTCTCTCATCAGGACGACTGTGCATATCGAGGTGCGTAGTCTTAAAAGTGCCAGGACGGCAAAATACGCTACAGCAAAAGATCGCCGATTATCGAAGCTTCCATCAAAGAGATTCATCCCAGTTCACAGAGGAAAGCACCGCTTCACTCCATGAGTACACGAAGCTTTCCCTGAGCGCGCATTATGATTCTGACCGTTGGACAGACGAGTGACTCGGCTCACGGGGTTAAGGCAGCCGACACGGATCCATTACCTAACACGGGGCAGAGCCCTCCTCAGGAAGCCAACAAAAAATCGCAGTCTTCGACGAAAACTTGAAGTTCATAACCGCGTTCACAAGAGCCTGCCAGTACAACCTAGCGTAAGCGAGATGAATCCAATCCACGCCCTCAAATCCCGCGTTCTTAAGTGCGCATTTTTAACTCCCCTAAGCGCGTGAAGCCATTTTGTCTTGCAAGTGGTTACCTAAACCTGTGACTTTCCCCGCCAGTACTGATGCACCGGACACAGACCTCGAGGTATCGAAGTTCAAACAAAGGCACGCGACGCAGTTGCTCTCGATCGAAGTTCAGGGATCGAAGTCACGCCAGCGATGGTCACGTGTCTCACAGCAGCGGCTCCTGCCCCTCTCGCTTTGGCCTCTCGGAATTGCAAAATCAGGTGGATACCACTGTTCTCTTATTGGACACGAAAACACAAATTCTTAATCACGTCCACACCGCTTGTAACGCAACAAACTGTGTTCATATTTTGGTGATTTGTTGGCTAGTGAAGAGTGTTTTGAGGAATGTTTCATTTTCAAGGCGTTTCGCGAGTTGCCATCTATTGACAATTTGTTTATACCTGAAGAAATAAGAAATATAAACTCCCGAAACGTGGTGAATGTACCACCTCCGGCGACGGACAACATCGACCATAAAGTACCAAAGACAAATCCATGAAGGTCGCACGGCTTTAGCGAGAACCAGCGAAGCGTAATGCTGACAAATGTTCACTTACGTAACAGCGAAGTGATAAAGTGCAGCTGGCTGCTCGCCAGGAGCCAGCGCGCGACGCGGTAAAGGCGAAAGGACGAATGTGCGTCGTAAGACGAGGCACGAGAAATAAGCAAAGAAACTGATAAGGAAACGCCATCAACGGACGAGGATATCGCGACACAAAACCGGCCACTACACTCTATTTCTGTATTGAGCCACTTCAATCCAATCTACGCCCGTCCCCACATCTGCCAGTTGCATCTGAACTACGCCATCGCAATGTCATATTCTCTTCCTCACGCGTGCTACATGAGTCGTCAATCCCACCGTTCTGTACTCGTGTCGAATAAAAGACGCGAAAGACCTGGGCGCGGTGACGAGAAAAAAATCCCTACCGCAACCAGAAAACGAACCCTGGTCTTCAGACGGCAAACATCTGCTCGCTGTCACCTGAACACGCCCTTGAGTCAGTGTTCGCCTCGACCAGATCGCACCAACGTGGACACTGTTCATCGCCCACCGCAGTGAATGGTGCTGTGTGATATGAACGTCAATGTCATTCACAAAGACACTGCCAGAAGGAAGTCGACAACAGCATAAGTTATACTACACGCATTGCACTGATGTCGAAGAAGTTGCGGCCTTTAAAGGCGCTCAAACAGAAATGAAAACGTACGACGCTTTCAGGATCTCAATCCGCACAGCGTCGAATGATGGGACTATTATGCTTGAGCAAGGATGTGGAAGGAAACGGTGGTGACCTAACTTAAGGCACTATCCCACAATTTCCCTGGAAGGAGTAAGAAAAATCATGAAGAACCTCGGTGAGAACAGCCGGCCGCCAAAACCGATATCTGAACCAGGAACCTGCCGAATACGATGCACCGAATTTCTTAAACAAGAACCTAAATCCAGACAAAGGTGGACAGCCCCTCCAAGCGACATAAGTCTGTACCATGAAAAAGTGTTCAACTGGCGTTATACAAGTATTCTGTTATTATACGAGTGGGCAACATCGCAGAGCATTTGTTCCGATTGAGCCACCGAGGCGACCTGCTTATAGATGGCAGCACGGGCGGTGAGAGCCATTTGCCAGCCCAGTCGGTGTGAGATGGTGCCGTGGTGAAGATGGCCGCTCGGAAGTTGCTCAAGTTTCTCATCTTGTTCGACAACTCAAGTCTCCTGTACTTCCCGGGCCAGTTCCTGAGTGGCAGAGTTCTGGTGGAACTGGAGGACGACACACCAGCCCTCGGTAATGTAACGGCACCGCCTAATCTAAAGCCCTCACACGACAGCCGGTCCCAGGACCACGAACGGGTTCGTAAATAAGCTCTCAACCGAAGCGCATGAATATTTTTGAGATCGCTTCTTCGCAATGCTCTGCTGGTTTCAAAGTTCATTACTGCTGCACGGAAAGCCGCATTACAGGAGCAATAATATAAAGTTCGTACGAAGTAGAGTCGCGAACAGATTAAGGTTCGTATAAACCCACCAGTGGACCGTATCCTGAGCCGGTTCAACCCACTCCACACAACTCTCCTTTTTACTTGGCTATAATACGCAGCGTCAACACAGACGAGAAACGAGAGACTTTAACGCGAGAATAGGCAAGGAACTTAAATTGCACATAACGTGATAAAACTTCGCAGGATGAAAGCCAATGTCTGAAGTGTCCCTGATAAGCGAGCTTTAAGAAGAAGAAGGGAGAAAAATCGACAACAATTCTGTGACACGTGAAGACAAATCACTTCGCCAAACAAAGCTTGCCTGAGACGCGCGCACTACTCGTGTATTAACAAGATGACTACTCTCTTAAGCCATTAAGAAATGTTAGGTTACGTTACGAACTTCAGCAATATAACACAGCATCCATTATCACTAGGTAATTTTATCACAGCTATTTTCCAGTCATATCATTTAAAAAGGTGGCTCGCAATATTCATGGATTATAGAACTAAATATGTATACATTTTCCTATGTAAGAAGTCACATCTCGATGACAGGCGTAAGGTATTAATAAAAAAACAAATTAGCCTATTTATGGGACCACAGTTCATGATCTTCAATTCAACTTAAACACACATCTTAATTCCAACTGCGTCGTAACTTATCACTTAAGTAATTATAAATTAGCACATCGAACACGAACTCCAGCACAAACGCCCACTCAGTACCAAAGCTCCGGCCTCACTGAATTTCAAATATCGATCAATACAACTGGCAACTCGAGTTATATCGATAAAGAACAACACGACCGAAAGAAACAATAGAACACAACGACGACGACGCCGATAAAACTTTCCTATCGACTATCGCTTATCGATTTAGTGCACGAACGACTTATGACCGTTTCGACAAGTTTATGGACGCTGGTGGAGGGGGGGGGCCTTGTAGGAGATTTCGTGTTATGGAAATTCTTTGCAAATATTAATATCGGCGCTTTCGTTTGGTTTGGTGTGAAACTGTTAAACACGAAAATTCTAATAAGGCCATACGGGAGATCCCGTTGTGCAAAAAAGGCTTCATTTCCGGTTACCACTGGGCTTTGAAGGGTTGTGAAGCGAAGTGGACTGACATGCACAGGTGAGCGAGGTACTGCTTTCCTATGACGTAACGCCCAATGCTTACCTTGACGATAAGGTGGCTCAAGGCCATAAGACACCCACAGCACACCTGTGTATTAATGAAGCACATCTCAGTGGAACCTGTCGAAAACGGAAACATGCCTTCATGGGAAAATTGCTCCGGTAACTGGAATGACAACGGACTGGAACTAGTCCTTGTGTGCACAACGCATTTCGAAATTATTTACCCTGACATAATTTTGCTACTCTGTCAATCTCTCTCCTAATGTTTACCAGAATTATGTGACCTCAGCGGTCGATGCAGCGTCGAAAGAACGCTACGGGTGTGCTGCGAGCAGATGAGAGAAACCGCGAGTGATGTCAGCGAGAATCAAACCGCGGTACAGTCACTTTCGTTATTGCGTCACGACGAGATTATTAACGCCCAGTTACGCGCGCAGGGCTGCCAACTGTGACCATCTGCGTTGAATTCACGACGGATCGTCCCAGAAAAAGCACGCCTCGAGTTTCGCCTGTACCACCGTCATCAGAGTTGATCTTTCTGAAGGCGAAAACTGAAATATGATCTCACCCGATTTCAGTCTGCGCCCTACTTATTTGGGGTCCATTTTAATATTACCCTCCCATCCACAACTTGGTCTCTGAAACGTCGGTAAACTTCTACCAGACTGCACGGCGCAACAACCCAGAAGACAGCCATCTTCAGACTCACCGCCCCGAAAACCTCGGGGCCTACGTCGTTACGGTGGTTAATAAACGAAAGGGCGGGGGGGGGGCATGGAGGAAATGAATCCACATACAACATCGTGGTGGTACAGTCGCAGGTAAAATGGTCATTTAAGAGACTTCAATGTAGATGACAGGATCTCAGAGAAACGGAGTCTCAAACGAACATCTTCCTCGTTCCACAACACGAGAGAAATTGTTTGAGCAAACGAATAAG